TCACATGCTTTGCATACCTACAAAAATAGGGCTCATTGCAAATGAATGTAAAGAAAAAAGTAAGGTGTCCTAGATTTGGAGGTCCACATGAATTTGGTAAATGGGATAAAGATGCAAAAATTGAATGTAGCTGTGAAGGAGAACATAATGCAGCATATAGTGGTTGTATTGTAAAGAGAATAAAAAAAAATATAAGAATCAAAATTATAGAAAAGATAATATTTGCTGAAGCTCTAAAAAGGGTAAGAAACAAAGCAGGAAGAATCCAATCAAATAACTCGGAACAACAAACATAGGTCAGAACATCCAGAGGCAAATCCTATAGTCAACAAACTAAAATAATCAATGTCCACATGAATGTAGATCAGTGGAAATTACAATGATGGAGAAAAAAAGAAAACTTTGTTACATTTATGTGGCATTTTTTTTTATAAATGTTACAATGCAAATGAAGAAGAAAAGTGACAATATAAAGGCAACTGTAGCAGCCGCATGAATATTTTTGGATATTAAAGAAAAGCAAACTGATCAAATTCATTTAATCTTGAATGCCACTGAAAAAAAACCCAGAATATTTTCAAGAATAGAATTTACAATGCTCCTATATATTCTTCAAACAAATACCAGATGTTTAATAGTCAATGGACAGGAATTCTAAAAATGTTTTTATGATTTAGAAATAGTTCCAGATATATATGTCCAATTGACATGGTTAAAACTTTAAGTTATAGTACAGAAAGACAGGACAGCATTTATAGCTGTGGAGGAGGATGTGCCACAACACCCAAAGAACTTGAAAATTAATAAACATAGAAATATATAGGAAATACAGAAATATTAAGATAATAAATTATTATAATCCATGTAAAAATATAGATATAGAAATGTTTAAAGGGGATTGAAATTGTGTGGTGATTTCAACACCCATAATAGGGGAATAGGAGTAGCAAGATCACTAATCAAAATGGAAGTATAGTAAAAGATACGATGGATGAAAGATCTTTAGCTTGCATCAATAATGGTCAGAGGTACGAGAGTCAACTTACATAAAGGTACAGCTTCATGTCTAGACATTACATTAATACCCGATCATGCTCCAAGTACATGTGAATGGGATGTCAGGAAAGATTCTACTTTAGGGAGCGATCATTTTCCATTAAGTAGACTAATAAATTATTACATATGACATGAACTATCTATTAACAAGATGGTGTTTTAACAAAGCTAACCGCTTATATTTTAAATAAATTGTGAGAAAACCAGTCAGTTTCTTACATTAGAAGGTAATATAGAAGAATATACCAATCAGATAACGGAACATATGGGGAAAAAAAGGTGGGATGAAGATGAAAAAGGAAGGTTCTTATGCATATAACGTTCAAAAATCAATATTAGTTAAAATATTAATGAGAACAATTGAATGGAATAATAATAGAGTATGTCATACCTATCTTAATGACATTTTTTATATAACTGGTTAGAAAAATACGGATAAATGTGAGGGATGTGGAAGGAAAAAAAAATTAGAACATGTATAGATGAAGTTTAAAATATATGAGTCATAAAGGATGAGATTAAGGACAATAGTAGAAAGGCAAAACAGGAATAGAGTCTTAAAGGATTACTGGGAACAGAAAGGAAGCATAAATGACATTTATTCAGTAAAATAATGAATTATTTTCTTCATAATACAACATTAAAATAAAATAGAATGTAGAGGATGTGAGTATAGGTTACTGCAAACTCATGTACAGTAGGTGGCGGTATGCACCTGAAAGTGACTTGTGATCCGCCATTAAATAAAAGAAGAAGAAGATGACCGCCAAAGAGAGCAAAGCTGAACTAATGTTGTTTACTAAAAGGGTTAAAATGTTGAATAGGCTTGTTTCTTTTACTTTGTAGATAAATAATACGGACCTTGCTGTTAAACCTCTCTGTTTAATATCCGAATTTAGATTATTGCAAAAACCCCAGCTTATTTATTTATTTATTTATTTATTTATTTATTTATTTATTTATTTATTGTCTCGGTTAAAAGGTTTTTGAAAAAAATTCTTACTTTCACGATCTGATGTTGCAATTGTATAAACATTTCCTCTCCACTTACTTCTCTACATTGCTTTATTTTTGCATACAGTGTAAAGGAGGCTTATAGTTTTAGGTCATGTCCTGGAAATGTTTTCTAAGGTGAAAATGTTGTTTGTATCCCTTTGTGAGCTTGTCTGCTCATTTTTTTATTTTTATTTTTTACATGTTTTATTTTTTTCTATATAAAAATGAAGCAGAAAAATAGATGTAAAATTTCCATTCAAGTTTTTCCAATTTACATAAAACCCATAAAAAAGTCCAGATTTCCCTTGATGACTTCCAGATTATTCAGGTTTTAAAACAGAACATCGGAGAGGGAATTTTACTACTGGACGTCACTTTTCTGTCTTACTGACTAACAGAGAGGTAGAACTACAATAATCCTCATAAACATAATTAATTCCACCTTTGAAGAACATGTAGAAATTTTAAACATGAGACTCTCCACTTGCTGTAGTTTAGCTTTCAGGTACCCAAATTATTCTCAACAAGCTCAAAGATACTCTGCTTATGTAGAAAGCAGGTCAGAGGTGGGCACTAACTAGTTATATTTACTCAGTTACAGTTACTTGAGTACATTTTTGAACACAATATACTTTTAGGAGTCATTTTACTGCACCATACGTTTACTTGAGTAATAGTTTAAATATAGTGTTCGATATCCCATCCATAGTGAGTAACTTTACTGGATAATGAACCAGCTTGTTTTTCTGGTTTTTGTTTTGTTTTCCAGATAAAGGCCCCCAGAAAGAGTTTAATGTCTACATATGTTTTTTGAGGTCAACGTGATATAGAGTAAGGGGTGAATTGTGTCACAGGAGGTACTGGTTTCATAAGTTTTATATATAAAATCAAATGGTTTGTGAAATATTTCTTCTGCCAGGAATAAAAGAAAAAACACAATAATTTTCAATTATTTAAATTGGAATTGAATGTATTTTTCAGACATATTATTTGTTTGGCTTGAAACTATTATATTATGCTCTTTTGAACTCAAGAGTTTTTAAAAAGGTTTGCTTTTATTTCATAATCATTATAAATATCAGAAGTTATGATGAGTTACTCAGTACTTGAGTATCCTTTGTCCCAAATATTCTTTAACTTTCTTTCTTGGATGGGTACTTTTCACTGTTACTCAAATATAAATATGATGAATCAGGTTTACTCTTTTTTTGAGAAGAGTTTTGGCTACTCTACCCACCTCTGGAAGGGATTTAGAGGTATATTCCATAGCTAACTGCCAGTTTTATGCGGCATTTACAATCGGCTAGGATTCCATCAGAAACCAGAAATTCATATATAATTCTCATGGTATTTTTAAGGCCATCAATTCTAACAGTTTTTTCTGTTACTGTTAGCTGTTTATTTTTTCTTTAAACTGTTATTTCTGAACTACTTAAAGCACTGAACTACTTAAACTAACATCTATGTGAAAAAAACATCACAATTCGTATATTTAGAGAAACAATTTGCGGAAACTCTCTCAGTATTAAGTCACCTGTCTTTGTAAAAACTCCCCAAAATTGTCCTGTTGTGCCGAAAATGCTTTATATAAAACCTAAATTTTACTCAGGGTTAACCAAGGGCTGATTTAAAAAAAAAAATCATATTTAACATTAATTTAAATGTGATTAAAACCTCTAATCGCAGCCACATCCTGGCTTAATTCCTATAAAAGGGAACAGATTTCAACGAGCTCCAACTTACTGTACGTAAAATACAATGATAGTCTGGTCTTTTACATTACATTACATTACAGTTTAGACTGGAATTCACAATACTTTTATTTTACTTATATTGGTCTTATGAAATCCTTATCTAAATGTTTAGCATTTTCTTGTTTGTGGATAATTTTCTGTTCATGGATTTCTTTTTTGTGTGTGAATAATAAAAAAGGATTGATATCATTAACATGTAAATATTCTATATTTCACGTATTGATTTGAATTAAGGAAATAATCAACTCCTTAATAACAATCTAGACAGTCTCTTTACAACTTTCATAAATATCAATTTGCTTCTCCTGCCACAAGATGGCACTGTTGAGTCACTTATTCTGGGGCGTCATTCTGTTGTTTTGTGTTTGCTTTCAGGTGTCTAATGAGTGATTGGAATATTTAACATATGGACACAGATGTTTATCACATTCTGATCTGATTTAGTTGGATCTGGAGGGCGTTTTATTAGTGCTGGACAGATACATAATTAGCTTATTTGTGATAATTTGTTCTGAAGATAATTTCCTAAATAATTACAAATACGTATAAATACAGGAATAATTCACAGAGGTCTTTACTCTGCTAAAACCTCAGCTACAAGTATCTAAATCTGGTTTCTATATCTATAAAGAAGCTGGAAAGAATTGGCAGGCTGCCCAACAGAACAGCCTCCCGGGATTGATTCAGGCTGAGTTCCCACCCAGGAATTCTGGATGTCTGACGGGAAACAGGCCCAGCTCTCCCAAGGCCATTATAAGTCAGTCTCTCCCTTCACCCTAAGACTCCTCCGCCCCCTCAAAAATAAGAAGAAATAAAAAACCTCCAGGGGCTTTATGTTGTGCTTCATGTGGACAACCTATCTTCCAGACAGTTTTCTTCACCACACTCCACCCCACTTCATCATCCCTGCCCATCTTCCCATCATTGCCCGGTCTTGCTTTAGCCTTTAAGCAACTGAATAATTTTATTAGGTAAGAGAGCCATGATTAATGCCCACGCAGCATCTGCACGCAGCTTTTCAGGCTTTCATGTTGAAGGTAGTGCTCCTCTAACCTTGTCAGAGCATGTTTGGATTTAATGCTGCATTTTAAATACTTTGCAGATCAAGGCACAGCAACCAAACAACTCTGGGCCTGCAGCGAGGCTTCATCTGAATTTCTTCATCAGCCTTGAAATTAATCTCAAGGACATAGATTTGGTTTCAGTATTTCATTTATTACAAAAACAAAAAAACTGGAATGCATTTAACAAAAGGTTTATGTACCTCCATTAGTGTTTGGGATTGTACCAATTTAACACAGGCAGCGTGCTAGAAAACACACAAAGCTATTGCACACAAGACATTTCATACCACACAAAGTCATACATACTGTACAGAGATATATAATTACTAACATACATAGCTATTCATAACATGTCATACAAAACCATGGACATACACTTAAGTCATACACAGATTAAAACACTGTTCAACCCAAAAGGGGAAAAATAGGGAATATTTAAACATCACGGAAGCTGCCAAAGTGCTTTTCACCATTTCTACTTGGCTGTCTAAATGAAACTGTGACTCTTATAAAAAAAGAAATTATATTAACTCTAACGGAAAGGAAGAGTTGTCATGGTCTGTCTCCAGGAAAGTTAGTGTAACCCTGAACAACAGGAAATAGACAGTTGAAAACAGGACTTCCTATGGCTGGAGGAAGTTGCATGTTTAATGTCCGAGAATGAAGAAACATTTCTTCCAGGAGGGCAAGACCCTCCTGTGCGTTTGAAACCGGATCTTTTCCCATCATGCAGAGATGGCGAGGAGCTGGGTGGGGTCTTTTCAGAAAGATGAGAGGTGTTTACACTGTAAGTCGGACAAGCATATGGCTAGCAAGATAAACCAGCGTGTTCACAATTCATTTCTTGTTCTTGGCGGAAGAAGAGTTCACAGTGAGGGTGACCTACCCTGTTCGTCCCACTCTCTGCTCATCAGTGACTTGGCATGTCAAAATCCTGATCAATAATACTGTCTATATTGGAGCCTATGCCCCCAACACTTCATTCATACATTCAGCCTTTTTCTCTCAGAGGAAGGCACAAACAGAAATTGGCACATGGCTGCTACATGGCTACAACACTGTCTGGGCACCCATTTCATTAATTATAGTCGACAAAGCTGTTAACGGGAAAAATTTATCAGCGCCAAAAAGCCTAATGTGCTCTCTGGATTGGCCTTCCTCACTGGAAACAATTAGGATTTAGAAAACAACAGTAATAGCAGGAGAGGAACAGTTAAAGACGGGACATGGAAGAAGGGTTACTAGTGATGGAAGTTGGAATATATAATAAAAACATTAGCTCTTACAAATGCATTACACTTTATCTCATGCACTAAATAAAGCAGAATATGTACTTTTGTTGTGGTTATTCAAATTGGTTAAGCAAGGTTATATAGGAAATATATATTCCTTATTTGGTGAAGGAACAATCGGTGTGGTAGAGGTTTGGAGTGCTAATTGTTGCCAACTGCTTTCTCTTGTTTTAATAAAAATGTGTGAAGAATCTTTTCCTGCCTCTACAACGAGGATCCATGCAGTCAAAATTTAGACAGGACCATCTGCATTCTACTGGATAAAAGTGCAACTCTGCAAGCTATGCATTGATACAGCTTTAACCTATAAGGATATAATGCATGTTCTGTCCCTACTTTTACTTTTTAATATGGGGTTACATGTTTAAAAAGAAGCACATAAATGAAAATGGTATGCTCCACATTTTACTGATAAAAGTACCTAGCTAAAAAGCCTTTTTCACATTTATCTTTTTTATCAATTGATCCTGTCTTATAATCTTTTCACAACATTTTCAGGAAGAGTGCAACTCTTAAAAGCTGATTGTAGAGTCACTGTGTTTTATGTGAAAAACAATCTGCACTGAGTAAATGTGTCCAAACAGTGAGCTGTATCCCAACCGCGCAGAGGTCTATTCCCAGTAAGTAACATCTGTCCACCTCATCATGATGTTTTTTCCCTCTTGTGCACACAAAAATAAGCCATCTAATGTGTTTGCAGCAAGTCAGACACAGGTGGTACACGTTTGCATGATGGGCGTGGTCTGGTGTTCGAATTTGTTGGTGCAATGTTCCAAAGAACTGGAGCTCTTCAAATTGACCAGGCAGCGCTCAGAAGGCCGGCCGCTCGGCAGCACACCCCAGCAGCACAGCACGCGCAGAAACTCCCTCCTCATGTCCTTGCTGCGCAGCACGTATATCATGGGGTTAAGAGCAGAGTTCACAGTGGCAAAAGCAAAAAACACCTTCGCGTGATCGAGCACAGGGCAGCCCTGCATGCTGCACGACGAATCCAGGAGCAGCACGGTAAAAGCTGGCAGCCAACACACGATGAAGACACCAAGCACTATTGTAACTGTTTTCAAAAGGGAATATGCTTGGGTGTTCGTTGCTTCCCGGTGACTGGAGCGAACAATCAAATAGATCCTCACATAGAGGATGACGATAGAGAGCAGTATGAGGGTGAAAATGGAGACAACAAAAAGTATGTACTGCTTAGAGTAGAGTGGCAGCACAGCTGAGCAGTCAGGGAGGTTGCAGATGCAGTTCCAGCCTAGGATGGGAAGTCCTCCGAGCAGAATTGAAGTGACCCAACATGCTCCTATCAGCAGGAACATGCGGCACGTTTTGTTTGAGCCATATACTTTGACTTTGGTGATGGCAATGAAGCGCTCTATAGCTATCGCCAACAAGCTGAAGACGGATGCAGCCAGAGCGATAAATGCCGTTCCTTCTCTGATGAACCATTGCAACGGCAAGAGTTCCAGGGTCATTGATCCTGAGAGTAATACATTGGCTATGTAGGCAGAACCAGCCAGCAAGTCGGAGAACGCCAGGTTGCCGATGAAGAAGAACATGGCTGAGTGGAACTTCTTGTTGCGGAGGACAGCAAGTAGGACCAGGAGGTTCTCGACGATGATGATTGTGCAGAGGATTACGATGACAATATTAGTAACAGTGAACTGCTCTTTTACCTTATAGTCATTAAATGTATCATTAATGGTCTTGTTTTTAGCCTGGGCATAGTGGCATATGATAAGCTCCTTTTTGTAGTAGTGGGAGAACTTGCACTCCATGGTGCCAGAGTGGCCGACCCCAGTGGCTTTACAGCAAAGCTCCATATAAACGTCAAGTTGTGCAAAGAGTCCAGGGCATTAATGGCTGTCTCTGTTGGAAGGACAGGAAAACACCTTTAGGGAGTGTGTCTGTAGGGGGGGGTGAGGGGTGGAACTACAGTCCAACAGTCATGTCTCCACATCTGTAAAAGGGTCACCTGCAATGCAAAGACAGAGAGAAGACCTGGATTAGTTTGGTTTCAACAAAAAGGAAATCAGCATTTAAATAAACAGAGACAGAGCCAACAGATTATTTTAGCAACTGAAGGGCAAAGCCTCTTTATATAGAGGATTTCAAACGCAGAGTTTTCAAACAGATGTTAGCACGCAATGAGAATCTGAAGTTTGAATTTACAATTTCCAGCCAAACAATCCAAGTTGAAGCCCTGCTCACATTTTTAATCTTATCACAGAAAAGCATATTTAGATTTTCCTAATGCAATAATACAATGTTTACTTTTGTCATTTTCATGGTGACCCTGTGAAATCGGACGTCATTCTCCAGGTGAAAGAAAGAATTCTCTCCGAGCATGGAGACAAAGGGCTGCTCTCTCAGTCTGAAGGGGACATTCCTCTAACCCTGTCCGAGCACCCGGCTGTCAACACACCGCATTGTTGTGCGGAGTGAGCCATTCCACTCCAGTGAGCTACCTCTTGAAACTTTAGCATAGCTGGTGGATCAGCCAGACCTCCTCGCCCTGACCTGCCCAACCACCCACTTCCAGCCAGCGGCGAAAAGCCAGAAGCAAATCAAACAGATCCCTGCTAGGAAGCAGTGGGGGCTTCTCCAACTTGCACAAAAAAAAAAAAAAAAAATACTTGTTAAGACTTGATTGTGTGCCGTAGTATTACTTTCTCTTTTGCATATTACTGGTGAAAAAGACGCTCACAGCAGTAATATGACAGATTAAAATTTCCCCCAAGTGAAGCACCTGTAAAAATAAATAATATCTAAGGTGGAAACATCTCTGACCTTTTAAGTTTAATAATGAGTCTGAAGACATGAAAAAGCAAAAAGAACTTCCACTACCGCCGTCATGGTTTCCCATCACTTTTTTGTAGCAACAGCCTCCTCCCAAATGTCAGAAAATAAAAGAATATATGAGAGAGAGATGCTTTAGGACTGAGCACACAGTATGTCTAAGCTCTGGAAATCTAATTAGAGGTGAAGCTGGTGTCTAAAACCTGTCAAAAGTAACACGATCCCTCTATAGACCAGCTCCTAGAGTAATTCAAGACTGATGATTCCTTCCACAGCCTGAATTTGCTCTCCTGGACGGCAGCAAACCAGTTTTTTTTTTTTTTTTTCTAAATAAATGGATGGAAACTACGCCTGGACCGGCTGACGGTTTTACTGGGCTTTGAATCAGAACCTTGGAAGGCAGATAGAGACAAAACGAGACAAAAGCAGACGAAGATCAGGCATGTGGAACAGCATCTGGACACAAAGGCAACACCACTGTGATGTACGCACATGCAGGAACAGAAAAACCTGCTCCAAACCTTTTTTCCAGAAACAGAGAAATATTACTTCACACACAAAGTTAATCATGACCAACTGATCACTAGGGCAAAATATCCTCCTGTTTACAGGAAGGTTAAGTATACAGCTGCTGTCGGCTGCCAAGTAGAACAAGAACATTGTTTCCTTAAGCAAGAGCAAAGAACAATAGGCTCCTTCAGAGTGGCTAGCCTTGGCCTTTGGTCTTTATAAAGAAGCAGCACATCCCTTTAGCTGCTGACACTTGATCATAGTAGGGATATATTCACCAAGCACTCTGTTATCGAACTGCCATCTCAGGAGGTCTGTCTTCTCCCCATCCTTTTCAGCTCCATTTATAGACATAAATAGGAGACTTGAGCTTAAGCACATGTGCCTGCTGCAGCAGGGTTATTACATTAGGTTGCATTATTGGAGCATAATGATTTTATTCATGGAGAACTGCTGCATCTCCACAGATTTCTGTCTACTAAGTAAGGCCACAGACTTTCCTTTGTTTTTTTTTCTTGGTCCAGTTTTTGCAGGACAGCGTCTATCTTCGTTTGCTGTGTATGGACAACTTAATGTCCCCTAGTCAGCGTGGAGTCTTTGTTTTCTGTCATTAAGGGATTTTGCTACATGTGGGGCAACCTGACAGACTGGTTTGCTTGCTGCGCTGACTCGTGTTTGGCCAAGCCCTTCTACCTAACGTGTCATTCAGAGGCTTTCTTCCGGTGATTGGTCAGCCGCAGTACAAGCTTCCTGCAACGTGAACCACCCCCCACCGCCAGCATCACTTCACACAACTCATTGTCAAAGTTGTGCCCTATGTTCAACCCAGACACAAAGGTTTTGAAAAAAATCCTGTTTTACAATTTTTTTCTTGAAATGGCTTAAAAAAAAAACAACCAAAAAAAAAACTGGGTTGTAGAGCAGCCCAGGTTACAAAAGAGGCTTATGTTCGAAACTCTCTGTAGGTCACACAGTTTCAGATCTTCAAACAGAAATGAATAATATACAACGAATCCTACGTAATACTAAAGATGGTTTTCTAATTGTGATTTCATTTAATGGCCGACAAAAGCTAACCAAACCAACCTAGGAAAAAATGTATCTTATCTTTCTATGAATAACTGAAAGTCTTTACTGATCATGCAATGTAGTAAAGGGGAATCTAATAAAATTTTTTATTAAATATTTGGTAAATGTTGTGCATAAAAATATACATTTTAAACACACTTTCTGGCTTCCAATGCTAAACCTGATACTGAAAGTCAGCTGGTTTTATTGTAAGAAGAATTATTTTGATTTGTAAAGTGATTCATAATGTCTTTGGCATATGGCCATTGGGGGGAAAAACATATTTCATAATTACTAGGATTTTTTTTTTTTACAAGCACATTAAAACTTTGTCATTTTTGAGCTCTAAATGTTAAAGTAAAAACATTTTTAGCTGTTTAGGTTTAGCTGTTAAGTAGAATATTGTTTATATCCAGCCTGAGTTTGCAGGTGCAGTGGTGGATGCACCTCTTTACCAAATAAGATGATTACAGTCTGCACAGACAGCTGGTTGTTTACCAGTTATCAACCATTTTTGGGAACGTAGGGTGGAAGTGTACTTCCCCAACCCCGTGAGGGACAATTTGAAGAAAACAACAAGAAAGGATTTTATTTAACTGAAATAAAAAAGCCTATATAATTCTTCACAAGTGTTTTTTTGTGAAGCTATCCTGGGCCTAGGACAACTAAACTGTTGTCCCTCCTTCATGTTGACAGGCACGTCTTCACCTAATGGTTTGCTATCCCACGCTTGGCAGCAGTGAATGCCATTAGAAACTGGAGATGAGGGGATATTTTTAAATCCAAAGGAATTTTGTCCCACTGTTCAGTTTGAGATAACGCCATGGAATCTCAGATTCATGTTTAGAGTCACATTTTTTGTTCCAAGTCATTAGGAGCTGAATGTGCTTCACATAACTGGCCTGAATGTGTTTGGCTTTAAGGTCTTGAACTGATGGTCTAAATTCCACTTCAAGATTTTCTTTTTTTTTATGTGGTCAATATTCATGGCTCTGTTTATGGCGAAAATTCTGTGTTGGCTCTCAGCAAGATTTACTGGAATGCACACCTTCTAAACATGCTTTTGTTTCATCGTTCATCTTTCAGAAAGAGCCAGCGATCAGCAAGATGTTAATGAAAAAATAAGAGATGTGCTGCTTTTGTTCAGCACAGTTTTTACTTTGGTTCTTTCTCTCTTGGATGCAACTTTTCCCCAATTTCTTTCCTATTGTTGAATCATAAATGCTGAAGTTTAAGATTAATTGGCCACATAAGTTTGATAGAACAGCTGCTTGTGGAAAGTTTTCTCCACTGGTGGACAATGTTCTGTTTTTTTTTTCAGATCTCAGAGCCTACTTCATGTTGCAAGACAGGTTTTATTCAAGTGATTTCTTAATTCAGCAGGTAAAACTGTTATCAGTTCTGGGTGTGACTGTTGAAACTGGACTCAGCTTTTGTGGTTAAACACAGTTTATTCATGACTATACACAAGGGGAGGGGGGGGGTCAGTTTTCAAACAGGGCCAGGTTGGTTTGAATAGCTTTTTCCCTAAATAAATGTTTGACTCACACTATAAATATATAAATAAACAAGTCACTTATTTATCTTTGTCTAATATTTGTATTTTCATTCAATGATTTCAAATATTTTGTTTCCAAAGAATAGCAACAGAAACATTAAAGCAGTAAAGCAATACCGCAGAAGAGCTGTCACAATCCAAACCTGCCATGTACACAGGGGTAGGAAGTGCAAGTTTATATTATAAAGCGGATTCAATTCCAACTTTATATCACTGGTGTCATGCGTTGTAAGACAACTTAAGAAGAAGCAGGGTTTAAGAACTTAACATCCTGCTTCAAATTACTCTTAAAGGCCAAAGAAATATTGTAAGAATGGATAAAAGGAAACATCCTGAGAACAAATGTGTAAATCAAGTCACAGAAGTAAATGCAATAAAAAAAGAGACAGGATATCCGCTTCAAAAAAACAACAACCAAAGAGTACATTTCTTATTTGAGATAAAACTCAAAGACTACTTGAGATAGTGTTGTGGTGCACATTCCCATGAACGCACGCCATACTTCTAACAGCTCCGCCCACTTCAACACCACACATCACAGCTGCAAACAATTGCACTTAGCGCAGAGATTTTGTTTTTTTTAATCATGCAAAAGGTGAAGAAGAAAGTTTGCTGCTGAAATTGGACTCTTGCTACTAGATAATCCCATGAGGAGACAGATTTCCCTTCATCAACATGGGACTGAAGACAGCACAAAAGGCCTAAGGTGCTTTCCCAGTAACACCCGATAAGCCCCAATTAGCAGACTGCCCACTAAAAAATACGAGGCAACACCGTCTCATTACATCGCCTGCAAGCCGTTGAACTACACCTAAATTAGACTCCACTTTCCCCTGGTGTGAAAGCTCCTGAAACAGCTAGGTACCTCGCCATTGTCTGAGCAAGCAGAGGCATATTTCCCTCTCATGATCTCTAGCAACTGTCTAAGATAAGAGATGAAGCTGAAATTTAGACAGTTTTTTATTTGCATCTTATCAAGTTTGCATTCAAATGTTTTTATGGGCTGTTTAGTCAGTCACAAACGCATCTGCTGCACTTCA